ATCAGTCTTTGTTTCTTTAATTCACACACATAATATAATATTAGAGTGATTATTACCACCGTTTCTTCCGTTGCAAAAACAAAAAAATGTAATCAAATATTTCAGGAGTTAATGGTTGTAAACCTAGTTTTGAATTATTACTTAAAAATTTTAAGCAGTGAAACTAAAATACAAGTAATATACAATACAGATATTTAGGTCGTGAAGTGGCACTGTTTGAGATAGACCGATAATTGTTAGGTTGCTCTCCAAATTCAGATTTTTTTCCACTAACGAAGACCATTCTTTATTAATCTCCACCCTAATATTCTTGTTTTTGCACACTAGGTTTGTTTATCTTGGAGGAAAAGTTTATACAAACACACTTTTTACTTGTTGAAGTACCATGTTTGTGTAATAGTAAGCTTTAGAGAGAGAAAATGAAGTTTACCTAAATAAATGAGTATAATGTTTAATTGACCATCATATTTAAGTCACGACAATTATTTTCATTCCAAGTAAAGAGATTGATGTAAAAAGCAAAATAAAAATTGAAAATAAACTAAAAACAGTTACGGTGACAAATAATTTTTATTAGCGGAAACCTCATAATTGCGCTTACATCTGAGAGTTTAATCATTTACACTAACAATAGAGAACTGTATATTAAAATTACCAACCGTGTAGTTAGTGTACAACACTGCTATTTCTTGTCTTTAAAATATATCAACCGAACCTATTTAAAAATAAATAAATATTAGCTTTAATTAGCTGTAATGGCTGGAATTAATTTCCTTCAAGTTATGATGTGCAGCTAAATGAATTAAACTGCAAAGCAATGATAATATATTCATACGACAGGCAGGCGGAAGACGTCAATAGTAATAATAAGTGTTTTACAAATCTATCGATTTTAAAAGATTCCTCATAAATTATATTATTTTGGTCACATGACGAGATATCGTATGTTATGTCGGAAGTACTTTATCAAGACAAAGAACCTATAAGATGTTATAATGAAAGTGTTTTTTATTTACAGAAATAGATTAAAAACAGTTATTTTAGATATATTTTTAGATATTCAACAAAGCTTATTAGAATTAGTTTATAGAAATACTTGAACGTGTAATTGTTATTAGATTTAAAATTTCCTTCGTTAATAATAAAACATACTTGAAAAACTGGAATAATGAGAGCACTGATCGGTATTTTCCTTACTTAACTGTGAAGTGCACTAGTTGTAAGCCTGTGGTTCCAAGCACGTGACATATTAATGGAAGTGCACTACTTGTAAGCCTGTGGTTCCAAGCACGTGACATATTAATGGAAGTGCACTACTTGTAAGCCTGTGGTTCCAAGCACGTGACATATTAATGGAAGTGCACTAGTTGTAAGCCTGTGATTCCAAGCACGTGACATATTAATCAATAGGTGATTTAATTATGTGTCATTTTTGACGGTCAGATTGTTCATACACTACATGGAGCTTCTTGAAGTAGTTATGTGACAATAACGCCTCCTTGAAGCAGTGATTGATGTAATATAACAGTATTCTGGTTACGTTTAGGAAGTCAATGGTACGAAAATTAAACAGCCATGCTGACAAAAAAGTAAACTAAGTAATGATTATGGTTTTACTTTCAGTGTTTTTACAAATACAATATTCAACTTGTGGTTTCTCACCCGTCCCAATACAGCACTAAACTTTTACACGGTGTCATCATATGTTTGAAGATATCGCTTTACTTTAAAATTGAATGAAATATTGATCTGGTAGAAAGTGTACACACTTGATCAGCCACAGTAACGAATTGTAACAATTTGAATACAAAAACACCTTTGGTGGTAAAAAAAGTAACTTCGGAAACTAACTATAGAGAAGGCTTCTGCTCTCCAAAATATATAAGTTGGGAATGTTTAAAGAACGTAAATAGCAGATCACTTTTTAAATCCAACAAACTTTTTCATGCATTTTGAGTCATGTTATTCCGATTTAAACAGTTTTTCTCGTGATCTTTGGTTCACATAGTTTCACATCACTGAATTTACTGGTAAATCTATATATATATATATATAAAAGAGGAAGTTTGTTTATTTTGTTCGCTATAGGAAACCAAACGGTTGAACTTACCAATTTTAAAATAACTTCATAATAACCAGATTTTTTACAAGAAATTCAATAGTGCTATTTATTTTGTACTTGATGTAGTATTTAATGACGAAATTAACAATTAATGATTATTGCGCCATTTGTTTGTAATATTTTTTTGTGTATTAAACATACAAACATAAGCACGTATATAGAAAGCGTTATGGCGGGAGACACTCAGATCACCTTGCTGTCAATTCAGTATTTCCAAAAACAGTTTTCTATAAATAGTGCTAATTGGTTTCATAAGTGATTTAGTAACTTTGTGAATAGCAAATTATTGTTTAGTGATACAGTTGATTATGCCACCCAAGAAACACCCTTGCTATGGAAAGTCTTCTGCCGCTAAAAGAATGCAAGCACAAAGAGCAGCTAAAACAGAAAAAGAACGCAATTAAAGACTTCAAACACAAGCTGCAAGACAGGCTGCTCCAATACAGGAAGAGACTTTGAAACAACGTAAAGTTAGACTTCGAGCTAAAGCTGAAAGGCAGGCTTCTCAAAGACAGCAAGAAACTGTTGAACAACACAAAGCCAGAGTTCAGTCAGAATCATCAAGACCATCTGGATATAGACAACAAGAAACTTCTGAACAACGTCAAACCAGACTTCAAGCACAAAAATTAAGAAAAATAACTTACAGAGAGCAAGAAACAGAGGAGCAACATGATGTACGACTTCAGGCTCAAAGAACAAGACAAGCTCAAACACGATCTCGAGCCTTCAATGCTTGGCAGTGGAATTTATGTGTCCTTAACTACAATCCACAATATAATTATGCATCTGACAAAGTGGTTATTATTGGATCAATGTCTAAAATATGTGATAAATGTGGTGCTAAAAAGTGGGATAAAGAATCACCAGGAATGTGTTGTACCAATGGAAAAGTTCAATTAGCCGCGCTTTCGGAACCTACAGAACCTTTTAAAACTCTACTTACAGGCACTACATCTGAATCTAAACACTTCCTACAAAATATTCATGCATACAAGTCTGCATTTCAAATTATCTCATTTGGAGCTAATACCATTAGTGAAGGAGGATTCATGCTTACATTTAAAGTTAAATGTCAAATATATCACAGAATAGGTTCACTACAACCATTACCTCATGAAGAACCAAGGTATCTTCAATTGTACTTTGTTGGAGATTTGCAACATCAAGCACAAAATAAATACAATAGAAACCCAGCAACAAGATTGGAACTAATTGTTGAGCTTCAAGACATGCTTCATGCTTCAAATAATTACATTCAAAGTTTTAAATATGCTTTAGAAAATGTACCTGCTACAGAATACAAAATCCTCATTGGTGCCGACAAGAGACCTGCTACTGAACATACTAGACGATTTAATCTCCCAGAATGCAATGAAGCTGCTATGATCATTACTGGTCAAGAATATGGCAAAAGAAACATTGTGTTTAAAAGTCGAGATGATACTCTGCTATCCATCAATGAAACCCAAAGATATTATGATGCTTTGCAATATCCTTTACTGTTTGTTTATGGAGAATAGGATATCACTTTGGAATTCCCCAAGCAGGTGTACATTCTAGCAAAACAGTTTCCCGCATGGACTTCTATGCTTACAGATTTATGGTTCAAAGTAATTCACTAAATCATCTTCTGATGGCTAGAAACGTTTTTCATCAATTTGCTGTTGATATGTATGCAAAAATAGACGCAGAAAGATTATATTACATTAGAACTCTCCTCAGAGAGAATTAACATGTAATTCATATATACATCTAAGAGATGGCATCACCAATGATGTAGCTGGAGGAAAGCTTGACCAGCTTTGCATTCTTCCGTCAACTTTTACAGGCAGCTCACGTTACATGCATGAAAGAACTCAAGATTCAATGACATATGTTCGCACTTGTGGTCGACCTGACCTACTTATCACATTTACATGCAATGCTAAATGGAAGGAAATTCAGGATGAGTTACTACCTGGACAAACATACATTCACAAACATGACCTCACAGCCAGAGTGTTTCGCTTAAAATTACTAAAACTGATGGATTTCATGACAAAATCCGTCATTTTTTGGCCAGTAAGATGCCACATGTACACTATTGAATGGCAACAAAGAGGATTGTCTCATGCTCATATTTTGATTTGGCTGACCAACAAAATTCAAGCTAATCAAATTGATTCCAGACCCTAACACAGACAATGACCTCTTTGAAATAGTTCCAACTCAAATGGTGTATGGTCCATGTGGTTCTCAAAATTTCAGTTCACCTTGCATGAAAGACAATAAATGTACAAAACGTTACCCAAAACCATTTTTAAAAGGCACTCAAACAGGAGAAGATGGTTATTCTTCATATCGCAGAAGAAAACCTGATGATGGAGGCTTTACAACGAGAATTGGACAAAATGAAATTGATAATAGATGGATAGTTCCTTACTGCCCTCTCTTGACTAAAACTTTTAATGCTCATATTAATGTAGAATTTTGTAATTCTGTCAAGTCTATCACGTATGTGTGCAAGTATGTTAACAAGGGATCCGATGCAGCTATGTTTGCTCTACAACAATGAAATATACCTGATGAAGTGACTAACTATCAACAAGGTCGTTAGTTAAGCAGCAATGAAGCCTTTTGGAGAATATTTAGCTTTCCCGTCCATGAAAGATATCCTGCAGTACAGCAACTAGCAGTTCATTTAGAAAATAGACAAAGAGTTTATATTACTAATAAAACAGCTACCCAGCAAGCTCTTGCTCCTAGAGATACTAGATACTTACAGCTTTTTTTAAACTATGTCAAGAAGATGTGTTTGCTCAAACTTTATTGTGACTGTGCTTTAGGCAGAGTTTACACTGTTCATCCCAGTCAGCATGAGTGTTTCTTTTTAAGAATGTTGCTGCATGAACTTAAAGGGCCTAGATCTTTTGAAGTTCTTAGAACAGTTGATGGTCATGTTTGTGCGACATTTAGAGAGGCATGCTGCAAACGTGGAATGCTAGAAGATGATATTCAATGGGATGCTACCTTAGGAGAAGCAGTCATATACCAATCTGCAAAGCGGCTAAGAGATTTATTTGCAATTCTGCTAAAAACCTGTGATGTAGGCAGCTCTTTAGAATTATGGAACAAATACAAAGATGATTTGCCACAAAAGTATAAGCACCAAGCACAACTTATCAACCCGCACATTGACTTAGTTCACACAGATGAAATCTACAACAGAGCCTTAATTGACATAGAAGATAAAATAGCATCAATGGATGGACCACAACTACCTTTATTTGGCCTCCCACAAACCAATATAACAGAAGTCAACAGTTTAGCTACAGAGCTTATAAGAGAAACATCATAAGATATCAACTCCTTAACTGAATATGTAAATGAAAATGAGCCAAGTTGTTGCCTGATCAGAGAGCTGCTTATTCAATTATAATGAATAGTATCTCTCAGCAGAATGGGGGCATCTACTTTTTGGATGCTTCTGGGGGTACTGGAAAACATTTGTCACAAATTTAATACTGGCCAAAGTTCACAAACAAAATAAAATTGCTGTAGCAATAGCCTCTTCTGGTATAGCTGCTACACTGTTGACTGGAGGTCGCACAGCTCATTCTGCATTCAAACTTCCTATGGATTTAGCTACCAATGATGAAGCTATTTGTAAAATCACTAAAACTTCTGGCATGGGAGGAGTTTTTAAAAGATGTGAACTTATAGTCTGGGATGAATGTACAATAGTCCATAAAAAGCATTGGAGGCCCTGAACAAAACTCTACAAGATGTGAGAAACCACAAGACAGCGATCACCATAAATTCTTGCTCGCATGTTGGTTGTAACCTTCAAGGTTTTAACATTGTGCCACAAACAGGAAGATTTAAGGCATGCTCGAATTTCATCAGCTTTTGTTCCCTTTTATCTTTAGCTTTTATCTCGTGATAAGACAATTTATAGAATTAACTGTCACATTTTTCGGTGCCAATATTGCTCTTTCACACAACCAAGTAAAGTCTTTGTAATGGTAACTAAAGTTAGTAAATACTTTTTCTGTTAATTCATTAACACGTTGGACCACTGTGCTGATTGTAGATATAATGACTTTGTTGTCATGGTTCACAGGAACTTTTCCTTCGCCAAGCTGTAGCAAGTTTTGAGCAAATACACCTGAATTCCAACAACCACTCCAAAATATTCCAGGGAATCCTTATATTTACAAATCAATTGATACATTTATCGATCAAAATAAAGTTGTCAACTATCCAACGGAGTTTCTAAATTTTTTGGAATCTCCAAGATTGTCTCCTCACCAACTACAACTTAAAGTTGGAGCTCGTATAATGCTTCTACGAAATTTAGATCAGCCTAAGCTCTGCAATGGTACCAGATTAATAATAAAGGCATTACAGCCTCATGTCACTGAAACATAAATTCAAACTTGTTCTGGCAAAGGTGAAGATACTTTTATTCCTAGGATACTTCTAATAACATCAGCGATGCCGTTTCAGTTTAGGCGCTTACAATTTCCAGTAAGATTAAGTTTGCCATGTCGATCAACAAATCACAGGGACAGACAGTGAAAGTTGTTGGGCTACAATTACAAGAAGACTGCTTCTCTCATGGTCAACTGTATGTAGGATGCTCTAGAGTAGGAACAGCTAACAATCTTTATGTATACTCTCCTTTTGGAAAAACATGCAATGTTGTATATAAAGAAGTATTGTAAATTCTAATTTCAAATAAATCTTTGTTTGATTAAATGCTTTTTTATTTCTCGCAATACAGCTTTTGTCTACTTTCTGAATAACTTGCCGAAAAAATACTGATCTATATATTTTAAATTTAAATTTTCACCGTGCAACGCCGGGTAACTCAGCTAGTCATTAATAAGACATTTCCTAATTATACAATCTATCACGTAACCCTCTAGTAAATCGGTGGTAATTACACAACATTTCTCGTGACCCATTTGTTAGGTAGTTCTTTATTATACAATCCTTACTCATGACCCATTAGTAAAGTAGTTCTTGATTACAAGTCTTTCTCGTGACTCATTAGTTAGAAATTTCTCAATTACACAAACTTTCTCGACCATTAGTTATGTAGTTCTTTATTACACAATGTCTCTCATGACTCATTAGTTAGGCAATTCCTAATTACACATTCTTTATCATGACCCACTTGTTAAGTAGGTTTATATTTGTTTGCTTGTTTGTTTGTAGTTAAGCACAAAACTACACAATGGACTAGCTGTTCTGTGCCCACCACGAGTATCGAAACCCGGTTTCTAGCGTTTTAAGTCCTCAATACCACTGGAGGGCTCGGGTTTTATTGAACAATGTTTTGTTTGTGAGCTTCCATTATTTTTAAGAATAATATGGACAGTGTTGATTAGAGTAAATAGGTGTTTTTGTTAGTCTATGCATGAAAGAATCTTAAGTTATAAATTTTCATTTTAGATTATAAGTACTTTCTGTTTTATAACAAAAATAATTAATTAATGCCACGACAAATAAGTAACTAACGATTAGTTTTGTAAATAAGTTATGTCCGTATGACGTAAGTAAAATATTCTAATAAATGAGAGCGCAATATATCAAAAGAATTAGCTTTCATGTATTTAAATGTTCTTCAGAAAATATGAGTGGATTTCTATAGATTTTCCTTGTAACAGGCGAATCTAATCAGAATATAATAATTTATAGAAGTTATGATAAAGTCTAGATTCTGTACAAAATTCTATGCTACCATCCTTGGAATATGACACAAAAATTACATAAAATGTTATACAGCTTTTGTGAATATTACGATATAGAACCAATGCATATAATAATTTAGAATTTATAAGAAAAATGTCACTCAGTTGCTTATATATAGTAATGCGATAACCTGGGGGTCACCAGATACAAATTGGTAGGCAAAGTTGAATATTTATGAGTAAAACAAGTAACGTAAAGAGACAGATAAAAATTTAATTCAAAATATTTAAATACTGAATAAAGCTTGATCAATTAGTATAAGGTAAAAACAATTTAAAACTGAAACATTAAACATTATCGCTGAGCCACAGGGAAGTAGTGCAGAATTAAGAATGAAACATGACATACAAAAATAAAGCAAAACGTTTTGTTAAACTCGATTAGTGAGAACATTTTGAGGTTAATTATGCAACTATTCCTAAAAATATCGACTAAAAGTTTACAAGATTTTATATTTGTAATGAAAATAGAATTATTTAACTTTTCTCTCTGTTATAGTTATTGTTTTCTTCTTGTAGGACCTTTACATTTTCTTATATTTCTTCATTTCTTTATCGTGCTATTTTCACTTTATTCATCTGAATGCTATTTCTGGAGAGTGTGTAGTCAAGGTTGAAACTAGCTGGAAGAAACAGATATGGTTATTTATACTGTATATATCTTTCAAATAAATATTAACTTCAATCTGTTCCTGAACATAGAAGTCTAATATATGGCAAATGTGAGAATCTTATTCCACGTTAACAACTCTAAATTTAACATATTAAAAGGCGCTTGAAACACGTAAAGCAAATCTACTAAAACATAGTTAGATCTGCGATTACGAATTAGCAAATTTACAGTAACTAAAGCTTAGGCTTTGAATATTCACAGTTTTCTGAATAATTCTTATCATTTTCGAATATTTGAAAGATGAATGATGAGTAAACTGTGAGAGAGAAATTTATGATCATTTGGAAAACTATTTTAGTCATATCTGTGATTCCTCTCTGTTTCAGTGGTTAAAAATGACGTTGCGTTGAATGGCAAGTTTTGGAGGAAAGCACAGTACCAAAAGATTCCCTAGAGAGGTTTTGCATCTTACAACGAAACCTGCAGTCGAACCTCTTTATTTACATAAGTTGTCCTTAATTTCATTTAAACTGACTCTACTTTAATTTCGATAGAAGCATCTCTACCTCAGATCCCCTTTTTCTTCTTTAACTGCAGAATAAAAACCCAGACTCAGACAGACTATTAGAGAGACGCCACAATTACATTACTACAATAATCTTACCCAGGTAAGTGATAGATAAAACCAGATCATATTCATATTTCAGCAGCATTTCTACAGAGTTCTGTGACATTAAACTGAAAATATACTAGACGATTCCTTATACTCTTAACACGTGGATATCTCAATGAAAAAGGTAAAGAAAATCAGATAAGATAGGGGGGGAGGGTTAGCGATGAATCGTATGTACTAATCCTAATTCACATCTTAGAAAACCTGTATATATTATCACATTAAAATAAGTTACATAAATCGCGTATACACTGTTTTCGTTAATAACTTTTATATCCTCATACACGTATTACCATTTGTGCTATTTATATATATCAATCGTAAAGTAATAAAGTTACGTTTATAGTTGGTGTAATATTGTCGTCAAATAGTATTATCACCCCCATTTTGTTATCATATTTATAAAAGTAACATAACTTTCTTGCTAATAATAAGATTTCGCTAAAAAATAAAAACAGATATATAAATTAGTTCTTAACCCTCACAAATATTTCGTTATTTTTCTCTTGAGTCCCAATAATTATATTATACAAGTACTTGATATTTCACTCTGAATAGCGTCATATGTGACACAAAGGTTAAACAGTCATATCAAATATCCCAATATTCAGGCATATCCATTACTGATTTTGAGCTACTGGTCAGAAAGAAGGCAGTCAGTCAGTAAATATCCGCCGTCTATACATATTCTTAACCGAATAGTAGGATTGACTGTCACTTTTATAACGTTCTGAGGGTTAAAAGTCTAGGGTGTATTCAACGACATATTAAGGGTTCAGACCTTGAAACTTTCGATCCGCAACTGGCCTCTCTGATCGTTAGTCCACGCCCTTCCCCATCTTAACTATAGAAATGAAAAATAACTCTGAGGTTACTAAAATCTCTAAATATCTCTGAGCTATATAATTATTACTAAGACTACTGAAAACAGTTACTCTGTAATACAGTTTAGTAATAACTTAATCTCTGATTATTGTACTTACTTAGTTGTTGACAATATATAATTCGATGATATACAGATTAAATTGTAGCTTGCACTTGCTTTTACTTCAGTTATTCACAACACTTAACTTAATAATATAATTCTTCCTCCTATTGCTAGTTGCATACAATATTTAATTTAGTTACACACTTTAATGGTAGTTTGTTCCACTAAACTTAATCGGAGTGTTGTCCATAATTGAATTACATGGTACTCTTTGACATTGGCTTTACGCTGATAAAATGAAATAATTCAATTTCTTGTGTAGTTATTTTGAACTACAGTTTAATCATAATAAACGTTATTTATTTCATAGAAAATAGTTTATTCT